AATTTGAGTTGTACATTTGTAGGACAAAGAACAAACATTTGAAGGTTGATGCTGCTGCTTTGTTTATTCCCAAATGAACGTCAGAGACAGATCACCGAGTTTCTCCTGAAGCAGCTGATCAACTCTTTGACTCTGGGCAACAGTAAAGATGTTCTTCCAGTCACCGATCTGACCTGCAATGAAAAAAAATGAAAGCTGAACCCAACTATCTTTAGAAATGTTTCTGCACAGGAGCTGACTGCTTCAGTTGGGCTGTGAGGGCTGTTATGTTACCTTTGCGCATGAAGTTTCCACTGATCTTGTCTTTTGGTATAAACTCATAGTTGGCTTTTGTGTCTTTCTTCATTGTTTTAAATGTGGCCTTTTCTACAACTTGCTCAACGTCTGCTTCACTGAGGTTTTTTCCTAAGAAACTGCAGATCTTAGTTACTGCTGCCTTCAGGTCCTGAAACAAAGAAACAGGAGACCAACAGAGGAAAACTTCAATTCTGACAAAGAATTTATTGGAGTGTTTTCACATGAACAGTCTGAGGAGAAAAGCACATCTTACCAAGATCATGTCCTCATAGGTCAGGAAGAGGATGTTGTACTGGTCTTTCTTTGAATGCCACTCTCTGATGTGGTCAAACCAGGACGACCCTACAACTGTATAATTGTATAATGTATCACTTAACATAAGATTTACATAGATGTGTTTCTAAAATATACTGTATTTATTCCAACAGTATGTAAACACAACCAACATGATTCAAAAAGACTTTAAACTGAAGTTGAAGTTATTCACATGCTGCTGTGGTCTGGACTGAAATAGCCAATTATGAAATTCCATGTTGACTAAAGGATTAGTTCTACAGATGCTCATGGTTTGTTGGGGTTTTAACTTCATAGATGGACTGGTTTGATTGAACTGATTGATTGATTTCAGATTCATCAGCACCAGAGTATTTGGTCTGGTCATCAACATCCAGATTGTGGAACTGAGGTACCTCACCGTTGCCTGTCAAATACTGCTCAAAAAAGTGGTCAAAGCTCTTCGGAGTCTCCAGGTCAGTGTAGGCACCACTGAAGTGGTAATAGGAGACGATGTTGTCCTTTGGATTACGCATCACATAAATGATCTGAGAAACAAACAGAGCAATCAGAATTTAACCTGATCAAGTACACACCAAATATGGGAGCCCATTAATGTCAAAAAATTTGTAAAAGTCAAAATTACAATATTAAAGCAACAATATGTAACTTGACAGTCTCTTCCTAGAGTTGCTGAGTGTAACTGGGTTGTATCCAACTGTGGTAAATGCTATTTGTGCTTTCATCCATCCTCATGTACAGCACTACATGTGTATTTGTTTACAAGACAAAGCTCTTATTGAGCCATAAGAGAAAAGTAATATTACAGGATTTTATACAAATATCACTTTGCACTGATTTATTTATTCTGACATCAGATATGAACACTTTATTTCATGTTACTGAAATATTACTTGTATTTTCAGATAAAATGCTTCAACCTAAAGTACTAATGTGCCCTGAATGAGATGTAGCTGTCTGTTAATAGAGCTAGCTTGGTCAGATAATGAGTACTCACATCTCCAAAAACCCAAAGCAATTTCTAAATTGGCATTACTTGGATAGACTGACAATATATTCTCAGTCTAAGTGGTTACACTGTAGATTGAAACCTGTCAAAATGTAATAAAATTGCCTGCAGTCCTATGGATGAAAATGTTAACAGCTTTTAGCCTGGCTCAGATTCTCTGCCACCAGGCTCTCACCCAGCTGTCACTGTATAAAGGAATCTGTCCCCGGCTGTGTTTGCGTTTGAAATGCTCAAGAATGCAGCCATGCACTTAGGCCACAAATGGCTCACATACAGTCTGCAGACTTTCCAGCACTCAGAAATGTGAATAATCTTTTAAAATATTCCTGTATCCAAATTATGATACAGACCAGTACCAAAATCTACAAACAGTATGTCATCGAAATGATTTTGAAACTTATTAATGTAAAAAAATCTATATATTGTTGCTTTAAATCAAACCAGTTTCATTTATTATCATTTTCTAGGCTTATAAAGTTGTAAGTTTAACTACTGGTTTTCTGTTCTTTTTTTTTTACCTTTTAGGCACAAATTATTCATTCTTCTTCCACCAGTGCATAAAATACATACCTTTGCCTTCTTGTCCTTCAGTCCCAGAGGCATGAGAGCTGGGGTGAGGTGAGAGGTGAAGAGACGTGGAGACGGTCGAAGAGAGTAGTCTTCATGACCCTTCATGTACTCCAGCCAAGGCATCTGCTCCATGTTGTTTGGATATTCATTCAGACCTCCATCTAACTCACAGATGGAGATGATGATCTGCTGAGTCCATATAGTTCCTGTGAGGGGGAGCAGTTTGGAGAAATCACACATCATCAGTGAATCTGTTCCCAACACCATGAATACAAATAATGTGATATAGTGACTGTTTTACTGACCTGATTTTAGATAAGTGATGAGGAATATGTCACTGTCTCGTACTTTAAAGCTCTGCAGTGAATCAATGTACTCAGCAGTTGTTAAACCAGTGAAAAAGTTGTAGTTTTTATACCTGCAGAGGTAGTCGCTGATCTGCTACATGTTAGTTCTGGATCACACAAAAAAATGAGAGAAATGTTGTCTATGGAGTTGTCACAGCTCTTGGCTACAGCAGATGGACTCTGGACCTTGATTTGTGTATGTGCATGTTTCTTCATGTATAGGAATCTAACTGGAATGCTGACTGCTGGGTGCACACTGACACCAACACAAAGCAAAGATGTGTCAAACTGTGTACTATTATTTTCAGTGAATACAGACACACACAAACTAAAATAAAATCTCTCTCTCTCTCTATACATACATACATACACACACACACACACACACATATATATATATATATACATACACACACACACACACACACACACACACACACATATATATACACACATATATATACACACACACACACACATATATATATATCACCTTTACTATATTTAAAATTTTTATAAATTTGGTGTGCCATCTAACAACGTAAATGGTCAAGACTAGTGTGGACTGGTAGCACTTACGTAACATCATTTCTACCACAATTGCAATCATTAGACCATCTTTTTTGCAAGCTGAAAAAGCTGTTGACAGTTCTCCCCCTCAGTGACATCACACTGCCTTGTCTACACAGTGGGGGTGGACCGGTTCAGGGAAAAAGACTGAACCTGTTCAGTTCGGTAGTGATGGTCCAGGGCACATATGTATTGCTTGGTTCATCTGAAATAGGTTGAGAGCAGTGACATATATGATGGACATGGTGTCACCACTTCCCTCCGCTATGCAAGCAGTAGCGACAAGAAGTGGAGTGACAGCATCTGACCTCCAAATCAAAGCCATCAAATCAACTGAAATACACCTCTTTTAGTATCATTAACTTATTAAAAACAACACCCCCGCTGAACATGTAGGAGGTGCGATTTATGACCTATACCACAACCAGCCACCAGGGGGCGAACAACCTTAGGTGGATTCACTTCTGACAGCAACAGCCTGTCCATCATTTTTACAGTAGATGGTTGATACATACACAGAAAAGGTTGAGGGAGAAAAGCTTCACACCCAATAACCTAGTAAAACTTGTTGAGACAGATGAATCATCGATTGCAGCTGTCAGCCAGTTATAAATGGCCAGTGGGCAAGACACAGAAGATCGGCCAGTATCATTTTGGTCTGCTTTGGATTTACTGAGAACTCAACTCTGAAAGAGAGGCATGAGCTGCATTTTCGGCTCATCGGAACAGCTATCTGTCCGTCAGCAGCACAACTGTTGTATAAACGGTCTTCATTGGACTAGCTGACAGTAAAAATGTACCCTACAGAAAATAACTAGTGATTTGAGGCATTTAAACAGCTGTCTGTGAAGATTATGTTTCAATAAATGCACCAGGGAGGAAAAAAATTAACACAGGAGTGACACCTCTGTTACGCGCTCACTGTCAATTGACACATCTTGTCTTTCGTCCCAGAATGTGAGCCAACTCCGCATCTTGCACAGGGACAAGAAATTAGAATGAAGAGAGCCATGTTGTTCTGGAATGTTCACAGTGTAGAAGTGTTTGTTTGTTATGGTCTCAACCAGAATTTTAAAGCAAACAAAAACTTTTTCCGCCAAATAGATGTTGAAATTGGAAATACTACCCCACTACGCGCCTTTGTTTTGAAGAAGGTAAAACAACAGGTGCTATTATTTTTGCCAAACAAAAACGAAACCTCGCAGTTGCGTAAAATGTAACTAGCGATAGAGGTCATTCCGACACAATTCAGGGGAGGGTAAAATTAAATCTATAGGGAAGACAGAACAAATGCTGCTTCCACTTGCATCTGCGCTTCCCATTATAAGACAGTATAAAAATCTGATTCTAGATCAATCAGTTACCTGTTTGATATATGTTAGCAAATATTTAAAAATTAAAGATTTCAGTGACCAAGCAACCGTAAAAATTGCTGACAATGTTCTAAGACAAACTGATTAATCATCTAATTGCTTCAGCTCTTTTCTATATAATTTCAAAACATGCATGTTGTTGCTTACTGTAAAACTAAAATTAAAGCTGAACTATAGCTTATGAACCCACAGCCTTTTTTCAGGATTTTGTATCTTGGTTGGACTGAACTTCTAATTGATGCGTTATCTGGTGCTAGTGCCTTTATACATGTGTACTCGTGGACTTTAAAAACGCACCACCTGTATTGGGATTGGTGATTTAGTGGTGCGTTTTTTAAATTCTATGAGTATATAAAATGAAATTAATATATACTCTGTGCAATATATTCACAAGTGATGAAAGCACGAACCAACTTTTTTGTAGAGCTGCAGCGATTAGTCATTTAGTTGATCAACAGAAAATTAATCAGCAACTGCTTTGATAATCAAATTGACAATTTTGAAGCATTTCTAAGAAAAAAAAATCCCAAATTATCTGGTTTCAGTTTATTAAGTATCTATTTTGTTTTGTTAACTTACTGTTCAATAATATTAAACCGAATATCTCTGTCTGACAGTCCAAAACTCAAAACATCCAAAAATGTGCGCTTTTAAAGTGTTAATGTCACACAGGTCACTGGTTATTACAAGGAAATGGTCAATAAACCATAATCTAGTGCTCTTTGATGTTAAATATCAATGTCACACAGGTCACTGGTTATTACAAGGAAATGGTCAATAAACCATGATCTAGTGCTCTTTGATGTTAAATATCAATGTCACACAGGTCACTGGTTATTACAAGGAAATGGTCAATAAACCATAATCTAGTGCTCTTTGATGTTAAATATCATGTTTTCACCAAAAGGTGAGCCTTTTTTTATTCAACTGAAATAAACCTGTTGAGCTTAAAAAATGGGAAGAGCAAACTACTAAAAATGTTCAACTTTGGTCATTATACCATGCATTAAACATTCCAGATGATTAAAATTATTTCAATTGAATTATCACTCTATTTTTCAAATGTCCTTTTTTTTTACTTTTGCCATAGTCAGTGTTTGTATGAAAAATGACCCCTCAGTAATTAAAAAAGTAACTTCCAAGTTTAGTTGATGAAAAAAAAAATCATCATAACCATCATGCCTGTGACTTCATGTTTATATCAGCAAAATGCAAAAGGCAACTGTGTGGTTTAAGTGCTGTAAAAGTTCGACGCCTGACAAGTTTCTGTCAAGGGCGCAGTCAAGAAAAGCTGCAAAAAGCACTTTCTGTCATTGTTTGAGATACATTTTGGTGAGCTGTGGTAAAGCTAGAAACTGCGTGTGTCCGTGTGTGCCCAGCCCAGGAAGAAGCACCTCCTTCAAATGTGTGAAGTCCCTAACCTTTTCTGGGGCTAGGGTTTTCATACAGTCAACATTTACATCAAAAATAGGACTGCAGCAGATGGTTATTTTCAGTCATGAGTAATCAATCAATTATTTTCTCACCAATAAACTACATATGTGGTCTATAAAATTCAACAATTTGTGGGGAAATGCATATCAGTTCTCAGTGTCCGAAGTACCATCCTGATATGTCTTTAGTCAGACAATTAATCAAAAACTCAAAAAGCAGTAAAATAAAATAATTAAAATAAAGGAGAATGAAAAACAAAATATAGCTATTCACACTTCACAACACTTTTACCTGATGGAAAATATAATATACCTTAATGATTAATCACTTATTGCCAATTAACTTACACTCACTGATTTGATCGACTAATTACTATGATCATCGGAGCTACTGTCTACTTGTTTTGTTAACATGTTCAATTTATTAAACAATATTAAACCTAGCAATTCTACTTAAATCTAACTTTACTGTGTTGGAGCAGGGACCCAGTGGCTCCAGTAAAGAGATACAACACACAATAGGCTAGAGTTCAATTTTCTTTCACACCCAAACAACACAATGAAAGAATGTAAACTGCCTAGTGTGTACACATTTTACAGTCGTCCACTACTTTCATTTTTACACATACTAGAGACAGTCTGTCTTAAGTTGGAAAAAATTACAATATCATTCAATACAACATCCTTGAAACATCTTATGAATCTCATAATCCAGTATTTGTTTTGAGATGGTTCAAACTTTTTTTTTTATTTTTTTAATAATATAGTAAACCCTTGTTTGTGGTGGCGTGATGTGACTGGATTGCATCATGTTGTAAGAGCTTCTTGAATTTTGTTTATTCCTCGTTGCATTTTCATTTAGTCAACTTAAACCCCGCACTGCGTAAATCCAACATTTATGTGCCTGTGCACCGCACGGACGGAGTCTCATTAACTTAATGCCATGCCAAGTGGACTGGCGTGGGCTGATATTAGCTTATTAGCCATTTAGTTAACAAGAGGCAGCTAGACCCGTCCCCACTTGATAACAACGAAGAAAGATGACAAGTGTGTGTGTGGTAGCTGACCAGAACAGAACAGAACATCTTTCCTAGGAAATACTGAACTAATAAATACTCACCTAGCAAGCTTAGCCAGACAGCTGGCAAGTTACTTCCGTTTCGTTTAGTACATTAGACGCTTCGGCCAAGTTGGCGCTCCTCTCGAAAAGGATTTTCAATATCGCCTCCCGGATGTCTGATTCCAAAACCTCCAAAGAAAAATGTACAATATCCAGAAAGAAAGAAATATGAGAAAAGTCCACGTAAATTCGTGATGTTTGACTGTTTAAGCGGAGACGCAATACTCCTCGGTTCTTGCTAACCCTTCCTGAAAGTATCAGCCCCTTTCCCGAAACCAACGCAAGTGGCCGTATGTAGAACACGGCCGCTGATTGGCTGTTTGGCCGTCACTCAAAGTGACGACTTTAACCCTTTTGTTGTTGTTCGTTCTGAGTTACTAGAATCACCAAGAGAACAAACTTAGTAACAGCGGCTATATCACAAAACAGCAGCTCAAATTCGTTCACCTCCGTTTTTTAATCAGCTGTAAACTCACAGGCACTAACATTGTTATCTGTAGATAGGGTAAATTCTAATCCGAGATACTGTGAGCATCAGAGATGTTACATTTTGTGTAGCTATATCAATTTGGACTTCTATTTTGAGTGTTACAATAGAAAACATTTGCTGTTTCCAAATACGACACTAGATGTAGCCCTCATGGTTTTACATCACATTTATCCTGCATAAAGTAAATTTTCAGCTGGAGAAACGCTTCTCTTCATACTTCACTTGTGTTTATTTCTATTTATTTTGCATGTGTGTGCACAGTTTAATAAGCAACCAAAAGGAAAATGGGAACTAATGTGCAAATTTATGTATTTTATGTGATGTTGTTTTATTGTTGTTGAACTCAAGCAATAGCCTACAGTATCTTAATTAGCAAGGTGAGGAACAAAACAGCTTTCAATATCATATATTTTAAATTGAACACTGAAATCAAGACCAATTAATGGGCTTCATTGAACCTAATGGAATCCCCTGGCTTGTACAAAGTTCATACTTTTGTTGCAGAATTGCATGAATATTGTTGTACCTCTTTGTTATAAGTATAAATAGACTGTGAACGGTCACAACACAGTTAAAACCCTCATTTAAGTTGTTCTGTCTGACAAGCCTTAAATCATGATGACCTTCATATTACTACTGCGTTATCTTTTTTTCCCTTTCTTTAACTGAAATCAAATGCAGAAATATTTTGTATCACTGAATCCCAAATGTTTCAGGTCCACTTTTCCCTGTCAATAGTATGTACATTTCTTTAAAGAAAATGTGTTAATCTGTACTTTGTTTTGTACATAAAAAGGTGGAACAAATTCACTTTTATGAATTTCATAGTCGTTTACACCTTCTGAACACTGTAGCGCAAAGGGATATCATTCATCTTTGCTATTCCGTAGGTGGCAAAAAGTGGCTAGATCTTTCCAGGTCTTTGTTTTAGATACTAAAACATCTTAATGATAGTGATTCCAAAACCCTACACCATATAATTATAGCCTACGTTTGTAATTTCTGCTGCAGTATCCCCATCTGTTGTAAATTTGCATAACTGTCCTTTTCAATATCGTTTATTGACAGGGAACTGTGTGAATGCTTTCCAGTTTCCATGTGTTTAACCATTAAGTAATAATTTATCACCACACTTCTACAGGATTCCTTTGCAAGTGATGTGATATGTCTCCCTCCACTTTTAATGTAGAGTAAATCAGGTACCCTGAAGAAATAAGTCAAGGAAACATGTATAATATGTGAACAATTCTCCCCTTAAAGCCAAGAAACAGCAGGTCAGACTCTTTATAACCTAAGTTTAAAGGAACACTTTACTTAAAATACTCGTTTGTAAGTATGGAAACATTCAATTAATAGTTCAGAATACAATATAATTGATTTTAATGCAGCTATAAGGACATTTTAAGTGTCTAATAATGTACAATATTTGTCAGCTTATTTGTAACTTTTCAAATCAAGACATATTTTAGATAATTGCCACTGGTTGTAATATTCTGATTTCTTTTTCATTTATTTTCTGATTATACCAGCTACTGCTAAAGCATACTCATAACTGCTGACAAATACATTAATTATACACAAAATATCAAACCCATATCTGCTTACAACTGCAGATGTTTATTGAATGTTAACAGGATATGCTGCTTATGAAGAATGCTAAATAGTGGGACTGAAATTATTGCCAAGGGTGTGCAGCACTGATCAACAATAAGGCATTTGGTCTATTGTTCCCACAGCTCAGGGAAGGGACAGCAACGTAGGTGAAACCATCTTCCTGCAAAAAAGAACAAGGATGCAAAGGTTTCTGTAAACAAACAAAAAAAAAGCGGTGGTTCATTTTCAGGGAGGGATTTCCCAGGCCACATCCCAGTAATCATATATTGCCTTGCATTAAAGGAAGTGTGACAGAAATTTCCCATGGTCACAACCCTTAAGGGCAAGCGGAGATCTAGAGGTTTGCAAAAACAGTAATTGAGTATATTATCATGAAATTGTTTCATGATATGTAAACCTCACTGACCTTTCATATTTTATTATCAAGAAATATGCTTTACCCAAAGTATCTAGAAAAACATGTGATTCAAGATGAGCTGAACAAATTGAGGTTAGAGTGAGACAAAAACAAAATATGTATCATGACTCTAGGGGAATTCCACAGCAGCTACAGTATATATGCCCTTTCAGTGAAACATACTAAGGACAGGTGGACCTGTGGTTTATCATGCATGACTCTGACTGTGCATGTATTACTTAAACTAATGTTCTGAAAATGTGATAGGTTTCAACGTTTTGATATAATCGATCACAGTGGAAGTCTATGAAATATTGATATCTTGAGAATTACCAAGCAGTCATTAAAACAACAACTATGACTAAACAATTTATAAAATGGAGACTGTAGCAGTCATTGGTATGAATCATATACAGTGTAGGAGTCTGGCATCAATTGGAATAGTTCTATTTTATTGGAATAAAATCTATAAACACAATCACATAACAAAGAATAAGTGCTTCTTTTTTGTATTATTAAAACTGGATTCAGCTGGGAATTTAGGCTGAGATGGTTCATATAAACAAAGGATTTTGCTCCAAAAAAAAAGATAGGTCCATTATTTAGACCAGTGTTCAAGCTGTTCCTACTGTCTAAACACATGCAAATTGAAGACTGTTTAGGCCTCAGGCAATAAACTCAACTAAGTGGCATTTTTTACTGGCATGTGACTTTTTGTATCATATTTTTATCTCCTGAACATTGAAGTGGTTAGAACTACTTTTCTAAGTAGTTTTAGTTAACCAAACTAGATTTTTCCAAAGGGTAGCTCTGCTGTAGTTCAACTTCTTCCAGTAAGAAGTAATTGGTAGCTTACAAAGCTATGCTGTCAAAGAAGCTTTCCCAACACTGAACATTTAATCATGGCAAATGAACACTACATTTGTTTTGACTTAACTTACATTAATTATTACTGTTTCACAAACAGATCACACAACAGGACAGAGCTGCAGACTATCTGACTCACAAGGCATATTAATAATAGATCTTTAGCTCCCTCTGTTGACAGCAATGTAGAGGAATAGTACATGACTACAATACCTTTGGCTTGTGCCTTTAAAACCAATACTCCCAGCAGCAGATAGGTCAGTATGAAATCTCTGGATGAGTCAAGAAAAAAGAATGAAGAATGGTGTTTTTCTAAATTTGTTATTTATGCAGTGTTAGGGCTTATCTAGCTTTACAAAGATAATCTGCATTAGAATAATCAGGTTTGCCTAAAGAGAAAGCACACTACATAGGAAAAGAAGTTAGAAACTCCTCTTTGTCATGATGTCTGTTAGTTTTAATACTAAATGGAATTTAAAGGGTAAAGCTTTGGAAAGTGCTTAAATAAAATACTGAATTGAATCAAAACGGATCACAATGAAACTTCAGTCACTTGTCTGTTTTATTTGTAAAGCTCTACCGAGCAGAGATTTTTTAGAAAAGGCCTGTAATATTCAAAGAAAATCATTTTATTTCTTATAGCTTAGCAGAAGACAGATGTGTAGTGAAGATCAATTCAGATTTGAGTTTGATGTTCTACACACTTAAATAGCAGACTAATGTCACTGTTCATTGAGCATGCCATCATCTACTGACCGATTCAACAAGGGAAGTCATTTCTTAAATAAGAACACATTTTGAATATGCTGCAACCTGTACTAAATCAGCACAACACAGTTTTTGTTGACATACTGACACTTGTCCACCTTCTTTTTTATTCCTCCAGGTCTTCAGCTGAACAAGCTTTGATCCACAGCACCAGTGTCAAGTTGGCAGCCATCCTTCAGTTATCACAGTACTGTACCTTCGATGGGGACAGCATCAGCACTGTGATAACTGAACCAGGGCAGCCTGTCAAATCTAGCAGTCCACGGCTTTGCTCCATTTGTAATATCTGTGCTCTGTGTTGACAGCTGCAACGGGAACGTTTCTTGTTTGCACGTTTGTAGCTCATTTGCTGCTATCTAATACAAAGTATATGCAAGTTGTACTTCCAACATGACAGTTGTTTTCGTTTACTATTTTTCAAGTAACATACAGTAGCTAAAACTACAAGATGAATCTGCAGAATAATATAAGTACGTAAATAACTTATAGATGGATAGAAAGAAAGGGAAACAATGCCACATAAATGCAGCAGTTTATTAATACTGCACATGCAATAGTTTAGCTCCTCTGCAAACAACAGATCGAGGAAATAGGGGAAATGTTTGCTTTTCAACTTTAAATATCACTGTATATGTTCAGCACTATGTTGCAATCTCAATATAAAGTTAGGCCACTTAGTATTTCTGGTGCACTGAGAACTCCTTAATGTTTCATGTCAGGAAATTACTGGTACAAACATGTTTTCCCTTCTCCTCGTTCCTGCAAGGTTTCAGTAGAGACAACGAGATTCTTTTTGTTTGTTTGTTTTACTGCCGAATATTATTCATACCAACCACAAGGCGTCAGATGTCAAGACGTCAGACTTGTTATGATCCTCCCCGCAGGCTCCGCCCCCTAGGCGCGAGGAGCATCTAGAGCAGTTCGCCCGCGTCGCTGCCGACGTACCAGCCCCGCCTCCGCACTTCATGTAAACAACTCCATTAGACCCGCTGCACAGGGCACTGGCCAAGAAATGTTTGTGTCAGACGTGCACGGCAAAGCAACATATTCAATAACTAAACAGGGTAGAGGACAAAAACGTTGTCAGTGCTGAACGCTGCGTGTGTTATTAACAGTGACCAATGTGGAGAAAGCGCGTCCATATTGCACAAATCTTCCCTGTAAATAAGTGGGGACTGGCCTTTAACCCACTACCGGTAAAGGTAACACAAGAACACAGATCAACGATCCCGATACTAAAGCCTAGGAATAGAAACGCCGAGAGAACTGATATAAGCCGTGCCCAAGCTTGTTGCTGTTTTCTAAAAATAAACTAAAGTTGACCAAATCCAAACAACACTGTTGTTTATGTCACTTCACAATGGCATACATACCTGCTTCCATTACGCTAAATATTCTCTTTAAAAAGCGACTAAAACACAATTGCAATGTTCGTAGTGACTGTTGTGCAGCCAAACGTTAACGCCCAGCATTGCATCCTACACACCCCTTTTCTGGGCAAAAACAAACAGCATGCTGTAAGGATCTAAATATAATCATTTATTCTTAATCACGTTCAACCTGTATTAATTATGTAACAAAAATTAAGCACACTTACCTGCAATTTCCCCGTTTATTTCCTCGTGTTTACATGAATATTTTAAATGACGCAGCAAGACCACACAGAGCAACGTGATTGTCGCCATTTTTTGTTGTTATTGAATTCTCCAAAGCCATGTGACAAAATGCTCATGATTTCAAAAACACGCTTCCGGATGTACAGACATAAACTAGCTGCACAAGGCTAAAAAAGGTTAATCTTCCGAGTTGTTTGTCTGCTGGATTAGCCTGGTTACTCCACTGACTGAAGACTGGGCGCAATGTTTGACAGCCCCGACACGCCGCCGCCGCCGTATGACTCGCAACAAGTATTCACTCGATCCCTCCCGTCCGCAAATGTTGCGCGGAATGAGAGCGACTCGTGCACTTTTCTGCGCCTGCCGCCCGCAATGCAAACTATAAGACATGTGAGCAATAAGAAAATCTGGAATAAATGTTGTCAACAAGTGTTGGGGTCCAGACATCATGCACTTTTCCTGATAATTTGGCTTACATGAAATAGCCTGTTTCCAAATTTTCTAATAAAAATATTTTATGTGGTAGGCTATAACATGCGTCTACCTCCACTGGAAACCAAATATAAGTGTTTTTATGGACCCGCCTGACACTGACTGACTTTTCTGGCTTTTTATAAAACATGACACTGTTTCTAGAAAACCCACAGGCTGTATCACAAGTCTCAGCATGACTATTATTTGATCTTCCACTTTTACAATTTCAGGTCAAAACAACTTTATAATTAGGCTTCCCAAACAGTTTGCAATAAGCCCAGATAGATAGATAGGCAGAAAAATCTCGTGAGAACGGCTTCCTGTGTCGCTGTTGTTGTAAAATTATGGAAATCATAGCCATTGACCTATGACAACAGACTACAGTTGTATATCACTTGTATAAAAACTACAAGAACCAGTTTACCCCGCGAGATTCGTGCTAATCACTCGTCCGCTTTTTTTTCAGGCTAACGTGCGCAGAAATAAGGGCGTTGTGGAGATTCCGTCATTCATTCGGAGAGAAAAGTCTGTTTCTAAAGACGTAGACAAGCGCAATGTTTCTCTGAGAAAGCTGAAAGAAAAAAAAAAAGAAAAGGGCCGAGTCAGGATATCAGTGCGCGCAGACAGTAGGCTCTGTGCAAAGAATCACAGACTCCACAGATAAGCTGAAATTTACATCGGCAACACTAGTTATAAGCCTCGCACGCTTTGGACCAGTCTTGACTACTGATGCCTGACTCTGAGTAAGAGTTTAATTAAGTTTACGTCGGTCTCTCGCGCACAAACGGGAAAAACTAACATTTGCGCATCCCAGAGGCTTCACAGGAGCAGCTAAGAAGACATGGCTAAGTTATTCCGAGCTGCTATCGTGGGTCCACCAGGCTCAGGGAAAGGAACGATATCCAAGAGGATTGCGCAAAGCTTTGGCCTGCAGTATCTATCAGGTGGCCACTTTCTACGAGAGAGCTTAAAGGGAGATACAGGTAAGATAAATCCAAACGTATACGGTAGTCCAAACGTCGGTACTCTGATGTCAAGAGGAGTCTCCAGGAAAAAAGGTTGATCCAAAGGGGTCGCAAAAATGTTATTATAGCTTAAAAACATGGGAAATTTGTAGAACGAAGCATCTGGAGATGTGTGCATTTCCTAGAAAATCATTTAACGGTAAACCTTTAATTTTCAATCCAAGCTGCAGAGAGAAATTTGGATGACGCCACAGTGACTCAGTATTATTTCAGATAAAACGTCCTATAAATATTTTATTAGAATAAATTCCCCATATCGACACTCTAACCCATTGATTATGTCTCTTCAAACTCACCTCACCAGCTGGTATCTCCAGCACGTTGAAGTTCATGTAGCCTCTACTGCTGATAAAATCGAGTTCAGTACCTGTTCTAATGTTTCATCCATTGTGCATTTTAAATATTTCAGCTATTGGCGTGCGTTGTGTTAAGCACTTTGATTTGCCTTTGTGTATGAAAATGTGCTATGTAAATAAACATACCTTGCGCTGCCCTACAGCATAAGTAAAAATAGCCATGTTTAGTTTGCTAACTGAAATGTGTTAGAAGGCTAAAGTTAGGACTGGCTGGATCTTGTATTTAAAATAAATTAGAGGATTTATAAACCTGGGAATTTAGTTGTTGTGTTTAATGAATTCAAAGACTTGACATGGGTATTGATCCCCACTGTTTCCAGTGTAATTTTAGATGAATTAAATAGGAAATGTTGCAGTAATCGTTAAACCATTTCAGTGTTTAAAGTCTGATATAGTTACATTAACAAGGTGCTCTTAAGTGGTACATAATTTATCATGCCTTTGATAAAACAGTCCCACCTGTCTTATTTTGAATTCCAGAACCAGACATGCATTGTCTATTTTTTTACCTGTCTGTTGCATATCAGAGGCAGGCGTGCTGGTGAAGACCTACGTAGAAAGAAACATGCTAGTGCCTGACCATGTGATGACCAGGCTGATGCTACACAGACTGGAACAGCTGAACAGCTGCAGCTGGCTGCTGGATGGTGAGAAAAATTTGTGGTTTTTGTTTGTATTACAATCAGAGTGTGTGTCTTACTGATGCACTATGACATGTCAGCTGTACAAACAGCAGCCTCCAGCCTTGTTTCTTTGTAGTGAATATATTCTTCATAATGCAGCTGTCATGGCCAGTGCTGGGAACTGCCAACTGCCCCTTAAATCTGATTGGCCATCCCAGGTACCACCCTCCAAAATCCACAGACAGTTGGAAGCACACTTCTGTATTTTAGAAAACATAGCCTCCAAAGTGCCATATACAGTGCATCCCTTTACTTGTCTGAAGAATATCTACAGTAAGTGGAACAATATAGCATGCTCTATATGATCCTACATGTGTGAATGATTAGTCTTCTGAAGAACTGAGTCCAGTACTAGCAGATCTGTGCAGTACATGCTCTCACATTTTACTTAACAAATCAGATAATTTACATCAGATTCAAATCAAAAGATATGATCTAACTTATCCATCAAAGACAGTTTTTTCATTTACATTAGCAGGGTCACCCAAGTTCCTTGTCCCTGTTTAATCTCTGGTTCAAGTTTCACAGTTTATAATTTATAAACATTCTGTGCCAAGCTTCGGATCACTGACCTCTGACAACACTAGTAAGTCAATGAAAAAGCTGGTTTATTTATCTCCCATTTGGATGGAGATCATCCCATTTGCATGGTGTAATCTAATTACATATTACAGGTAAAATATATTGTCCATTTTTGTGCATGTGCTACATAATGTTTCAGACCTCTATATAGATACCTGTGTTTATACAAACATACAGGTACTGGTTGAAAATGGAAATGTGGTTTGAAAGATGTAAAATAGAATATTGTGTGTTCTTTTTGAGGAAGAAGTTATTTGGTAACCTATTAAGTCTGAGCCATGAATAAAGTATGAAATTAACTGAGATGACAAAAAAGTACAGGAGGTTACTATCTATTTTTCACAGTGAAATATTACCCACTGCTTGGTGTTAATCTGGTTTAACTTTGAAATATGATCAGTAAACAAGTAATTTAGCAAGAGAAAAGTGAACAGAAATCAAGGCTATTTTTACACACACACACACACACACACACACACACGTGCCTGCATTTATCTCAGTTCAGCTTGTTTATCTCATGACCCTGGTTGGGTTATCAGTGCCTGCAGAATATTGATTTGCATGATGTGCCTAAATATATCCTCCCAAAATATGCAGTATTTTGTGTGACTAAAATACATCAGCACTTTTAATTTTGCTTTTCTACTTTCACCACTTTTTAAAAGTCATTTTAGCAATGTGGCTATGTAAACGTGGTAGTGTTGGTTAGTCAAATTTAAAATATTCCCATCACTTTAATGACAAAATGCCAAACTAATGACAAGCCCTTGAGCTTCAGCTGTACTTAGTATTTAGTGCTAATTAGCAAATGTTAGTATTGTAACAAACTAAACTAAGATAATGACCATGCTTGCTAAACATCAGTGTGTTAGCATTGTGGTCACGTTAGCTTGCTGATGTTAGCATTTAACTCAAAGGACCACTGTGTCTGGGTATAGCCTGTTGGTGTGACATCAGACTCTTATGTTGTTTTTACCACAGCCACTGATGTACGTAACTCAGAGAATTCTTTCTTCAGTAAGTTCATTGACATTTCTTGTTTATTATGCAATGGCAGCAGACCATTTCACTGGAAAACTGGAAACTCGCTGAGTCTGCTTGCTGTCAGCTACTACTTTTAGCAAACATTTAAACAGGAAATAATCATGTATCTATAGTATCAAACTGTGAAATGGCCTATTTTTGACATAAATGATATTATGCTCATGTTATTAATTCATAATGATAATCATGGCTTTAAAATGCACATTCTTTAGCATGAGCATGCTAACATAAGGACATACAGGAGAAGTCTGACTGGTTTGTTGGAGTGAATACAAGGTGGATTCTGATGCAGCACAAAAGGAAGCTAAAGTTTGGCTAGTTATTTGGTGAGCTGTCTGAAAGGTTTGGTGAGTTATTTTAAATTTTGGTGGCTAGCACAGCAGTTGAAATGTCTGCTAGTGCTAGTGACTGTTTGGTAACAGTTAGCCTGAATAATTATAGGTATTGTCTCACTGGGGTTATTAGTAGTGTATTCTTCTTTTGTTAGACAATTTTGGTAGAACAGTGGTTGTACAGTTGAGTGGGCCTGGCTCTCAAAGGCACCTCCCATTACAAGCCAGTTGGACCAGCCACAGCTTAGTCTGAGCAAATACAATGCAGATGCTGTGTGTCAAACCACATATTAGCTCTTTGCTTGGGGCTTGGGTGAGGATAGCGTTCAAGGGATGCTTTGTGCTAAGAGTAGTCTAGGTCTGGAAATTGGTGTTGCTTATGTTTATTGGACCCCAGTGCCAAATAATGGATAAACATCATTTAACTCATATACTGAGTTTCCATATGAATGCCCTCCCTTTCTTTGGCACATTTATTTCTGTTTTATTGACTGACAGTTTCTAATGTAGATGATAGAAAAGTGAAGCCATATGTCGATGTATAACACTTACAAACTGTCTGTTCCTGGTTGATGAGGTCTCACATGTTCTGCCTCCTGTCTTTGCTCTCTGGCTAGGTTTTCCCCAGACATTGGCACAGGCCCTGGCTTTGAACAACTTGTATCAGCTTGACTTGGTCATCAGCCTCAACATTCCTTATGAGACTCTGAGAGAGCGACTAAGTGACCGCTGGATCCATCCACCCAGCGGTAGAGTCTACAACATGGGCTTCAGACCACCTCGAGTGCAGGTCTCAGAATTCTAGAAGTGACAATATACCAGTTACATACTTATAATATTCTGCTTGATATTTACAACTTTTTATATTGTCCATCATGTGAGAAAAGACAGCAGCCACTATGTTCGGGCAGGAGATGTGCTGTCTGAAATTTTACTTAAGTGATTGTTAAAGGTGGATAATTTGGACAAAACTGGATAGCCAGAGATACATCCTTCAGGATGTAAAAAGAAAAAGAAGCATGAAAATTATTCATGTAACATGACAAGTTTATATAGAGTAACAATAACACTTAAGTTCACTGAATACTAAATACAGTAAAATAATATTTCCATTTCAGTGCAGTTCCCAAAAAGGTTTATCTTAGTAGCTCTTCAAATCAGACAGCTGGGGTCTCTCATAAAACTCTGCAGATTAAAACAGTGGCACATTTGTGCTCAGGGGTTTTGTAAGATGGCCATGTGAACTAATGGATGTATGATAGTGTCCTTGTATAAGGCATTTTATAAGCTAGGATTAAAAGAATTGTGACATATCGGCTGGAAGGCTATAACACACTTTATATTTTTATATATGAGCTCCAGGACTGCAAGTGTGTATAAGTTGCTGTGTGTTTTTTATTTTACTAGTATACTTGAATGCGTTGTCTTTGTTATCTTTGTTGCATCCTTGCACACATGGACGACCTTGTGTTGCCTTCCTCAGGGTAAGGACGATATCACTGGGGAACCTCTGATTCAGCATGATGACGACAAGCCAGAAGCCCTGATGGTCAGACTCAGACACTACAAGGATGTGGCCAAGCCCGTCATAGACTTATACAAGTCAGTAAATGGAAAAAGTGGAGTATGCTTTAACCATTCAGAAGCTATAATAACTGTAGTTACAACCGTCTTGCCATCTTACTTGTTCTTTTGTTTCTTTGCTCAGGTCACAGGGAATCCTGCATTCATTTTCTGATACAGACACGGACCAGATTTGGCCTTCCATCAGCTCTCTCCTCAGCACCAAGATACACACACACCAATTACCAAATACCTGCCAAACTCAGGCACACTGACACTACTCTGAAAGAAAAGACCACAGGGAAACATCAAGAACGCACCAGAAGAAGCAGGCTGATGTTTCTACACACTGGACTTGGTACCAGCTTTCAGCTTCCACATTAATGAACTAGGACACTGATCAAAACCTTCATTTGCCAACAGGTTTGTGACTCACACAAGAGATTTATATTGTATATTGTGCTGAATTCCACATATCATAGTTAAGTTCTCAGAAATGATCAAAACTGATCATTTTGTAAATTTTAACTTTACACAAATACTCATCATCAAGCAGTGTTTTATGAAATTTGCTTTTTCTAATTGTTCTCATCGCTACACACTGAATATAACTCATAGCTGGTTCAGAGCAAAACCAAAGGACAGCAGGAAAAGCAAATGCACAATGCAGGGTTTGTTTTATAATAACTCTCCAATTTCAATATTGTATTCATTAGAAACCACTGAACAACAGAGGGGTACGATCATTCCAAGAATATAAAACCAAAATATAAACAGGAAAAATGTGACACTGAACTCTGTGAAAATGGTGCACAATTATTTTCAGCGTCATATTTTTCAAACTTACAGAAGGCATCAAAAGTAAAATGTTAAAAGTCTTATAAGGTATCAAGTTTTTAAAGATGTTTTTGGTTTAGTTGCTTTTTTCCTTATCTAGGGTCCTGGTTGTAGAGTGAGCATTGTATGTTGAACCATTTTAAGTTAAGTTGATTATCATACTGTAGAAGTAAGACCAAAGACTTTCAGTGATTGATACTTGTTGCTTGGTTGACAAATGCAAAATGTCAGCAACTTGTGCATGCTTCAGTGCCTTCAGTGTGAAGCTGCTGACTAAGGATAAGCGTAAATACAGTAAGGTTGTTATTCACGTCGGTACTAATGATTCCCGACTTCGCCAGTCGGAGGTCACTAAAATTAATGTTGAGTCGGTGTGTAACTTTGTTAAAACAATGTCGGACTCCGTAGTTTTCTCTGGACCCCTACCCAATGTGACCAGTGGAAAACATTTTGGGGAAAACCTGGTCTGATTAGTAGAGATGGCATCCATCCCACTTTGGGTGGTGCGGCGCTCTTATCTAGAAATCTGGACGAGTTTGTTTTACAACCTAAATTATGACAACCCAGAGTTGAGTCCAGGATGCAGGGTCACAGTCTTACACGCCTCTCTGCTGTGTGTGTGTTGTGTAACATGATTTTTTTTCTTCTTCCCAGTTTTATAACATGCTGTTCAAGCATGATACATATCAAGCGAAATAAAACTATTTTCTCATGGCTGCTTGTGAGCAGTTGACATGCAACACACTGTATACTGTACATCCATACACATGTTCAGATGATTATTTTGGTGTGACTGCCAGGCATGTTTTGTTTTTTTTGTTTTTTTTAATCTATATTTCTTGGTCCAATGGGGCAGCCAAACAATATGCTTAGCAAAATGTATTTGTATTCTAAATGATTGTTTTTAGATGTGGTGTTTGGATTTTTAGAGCTGGTCTGTCTGATTGACTGACTGTCATATTTGTATAACTCTGGATATTTACTGTAACATATGGACATGCCAGCCCTTTTCTTTGTCCAGAAAATATCAAAATAATGGGAAAACTTTGCTCCTCCCTTTTTTGCTGCTTGATCTTTCAAATCATGTGAGGAAAAACAGGAAGCAGCAGGAGGGGTGTGCAAACTGGCACTTCACATAACAGCTGTGCTGTATTCTCCCTGAGGACGTGCATACAGTATACGTGCATGCAGGCACATACTGCAGGAATCCTACCTGTAGCTTCCTTTCTTGTCTAATCCTCTCAGATCTCCAAATAAACTTTATATGCATTAGAACTTGGGTGGAACTCCTGCACCAATCTCATGGATTATCTTATTTTGTGTTTACATTGGACATAAGGTGCAGCATTGTTTGTGGATTTAGGTGAGAGACCGTATTTTCAACTGTGTAAGGACTATTATTACAGTGTGTCCAAAAGTTGAAATACAGCACAGCTGCACCTCAAAATGTAATTGTCGTCGTATGGGGACCTCTGCTGTAGGAAAGTGGTGCTCAGTCATGTTGTGACCTCGAAAATTACGCTGTTTTAACGGTAGTTTTAATCTCCATCGTAATTCTTGTGGTGCAGATCCCCGGTATTGACTTCCCAATTACCGCAGCTCTCGTTTGTGAAAAGAGATTCCCTGCATTAAACTGAGGACAATATAGTTAATCCGTTTCTGAAATCCATTCCAGGGTTTACCAGGTTGGCTCAGCGGCAGGACGCGCTGAGCAGCGCAGTATCTGCTGTGCGGATACACGAACACCCACACCACCTGGCGTTGCTTTGCTTACACTTATCCACATCTTCTACAGATCTACCAATCGCCATCGCGGGACCTTGTTTGTTGCCCATATGCCAAAATGTGATTATATGATGATGCCGTAGCCTGGAGGTGCGCTTACTAACAGGTAAACTAGTGGCTACCGACAAATTCCTCTAGGAGAGTGTGCATCATAGGACGTTTAACGCTTTGACCTTTGACTGATAGCGAATAACAAATCAAAGGTCGGTGGCTGGGAGCGGACCCGGGGTTCAAAGCGCATCTCCACCACGGCACAAGACGGCGCTCCCGGGAGAATGGTAGAAAGCGCTCTGAAAGGTAAAGTTGTCTGCAGGGGTGATCATATTTATTTGATGTGCTTCAGGGCACATGTTTTATGGGCTGTCTTATCTCGGTTGGGAAGAGCAGTGCATCATTATCTCTGTGTGGACGTTACATAATATGAGGCTACCACTTCCACCCATAGTGCATCTGTGCTCGATGGACAGACAGATTACCATCATTAAGCACTTGTTCCACCGGAAATAGCCTCCTCCATTTGTTCTCACAGAGGAGACAAATTCATCTAAAATCACAAACTTGTCTGTGAGTTCTGGGCCTATTCGTGCGCACAAGAGAATCATGAATGACATCATTTGGGTTATTTTTATCACGGGTGTTTTTTTATTATTATTATTATTATTCTAGGCTAGACGAGACGTTGAGATGATTGCTGACACAATTTATCGGTTCACCATGAGAGTCGTTGCTAATTTTGCTTTATTGTAATGGTTTTTTAAAAAGCATGAATGAGTCTGAAGGTTGCCACTTGGATTTCTGATGGATTTTTCTCTCAGCTGATGATTTCGGTAAAGGCATTTCCGGACACGGTTTATAGGCCAAATTTCAAGTAGCCATGTATTAAAAGTAAACAAAATAAACCCAAATTATCACGTTATAATTAACTGTGAGTTTCTTTCTATCTTCATCATCAGTATTATCATAACCACCATCCTCATCATCCAGGGCTGGCGCTGTGTTGTGAGGCCAGCGCCTATGTTGTGTTGTCCAATAGCGCGCCGCCACGTCACCACCAGCGTCTCTCACATCACGTGAGCAACCTACCGCAGCTTGGTTTCATGTTGTGATCATTACAGAGTCACATTTAAGGGTTAGCGCATTCAAAACAGAAACAACCTATTTAATAGACATTATTTTACTGTTAAAAATATAGAAAGTAGTGTTTGTAATGCTTCTGTTTAGGGTGCAGTAATAGCAGCAGGTGTATTGGGGGTGTAAGACTTTTTATTGGTTAAGGGTAAGGACTTAGAATGAGTAAACAGGTAGGAAATATGTTTTGCTCAACGGGATTTCAACAGGATAGAGACTGTCTGTGAAAACTGTAATCCCCTAGTTTCCTAAAGCAGGCCACCTGCCAGCTCAGAGTTAGTGGAAAACCAGGGCAGTGTGGATGCCATTGTAGTTCTACCACACAGGACAATAATCCTTTGATTGCAGGATCTAAAGTCTTACAGACTCAGCCACAGATTCAAGTTTTGTCACGTCCTACAGCTGATCCAGCAGATTCCTGGGTTCTCTTTAACTGCTATGAGGGTAATAATTAATCTTTTTACTGATGGTAAAACCAATGAAAATAGTGGAACGGCTTCTTTTAAGATATGAGGCCATAGTCAGTGAAACATTACAGCAGTGCCAAAAAGCAGTTAAAACTGCACTGCGCAGTACATTTAAAGGTAAAATAAAAGATGTAAATGAAAGTCATAAAGTATCTTCCAGTGTAATGCCAAACCCTCAATGTCCCATATCCAGTGTGCATGTGGATCTGTTATATGATACCTACAAATGTTGTTTCAGTTCATTTATTTTTCTTTTTATGTAAAGCCTACAATGTTGCTTAAGTTGAAGAATATATTTTGTAATATTTGTTTTTAGTTATACAACAAATAACTATCGAATTACTGTTAAAATCAGATGACCATTTTGTAAATTAATAAAAAAAATTGTCTAAAAATGTGAAGAGGCATTTCAGATCTATTAACCTTTTTGGTTTTGATTGGGCTTGTCATGACTTGTGTGTAGGAGTAAATCTGTGATGTTTCATTGACATGGCACAGACTGTGATGCCTGTGCTGCACCTACTGCATCCTAGTCATGTACAATCACGAAGGCACCATTGGCAAGCGCAGTTAGAACCAAGACAGGAAGCTCCATTGCAACAATGCAGCGGCAGCACATGGCATCCGGTTACGACTGGGGTATCGTTCCTCCCTTCTGGACATTCCGTTCCCGCTGTGCTTTGAGTCCCAGGCTGCTCTCAGAAAAGAGTTTCCCAGGCTCATGTCCTCTTTTCAGAACCATGCAGGGTTTCTGTTGCCAGGGGGCAAAGCCAAGGAAGGAAGCATGCCATCACTGTTTTGTCCTGCATACACTCATGGTTATAACATAACACAAAATTTTGAGCAAAAAATGACATGCTTGGAGCTAGTATTGTTTCATGAATTTGAATGGCATTGCAATAAACAAACAAACAAATAAATAAATAAATCTAAGCATGCTATTAGTCAAATAGAGACTGATAAAATTTCCATGTGATGCACATGTGCAGTTAGTTTCCTTTTTCTGATGATGTATGGTGCTGCTGTCAATGCTAACTACAGTACAAGACCTCTTAGTTTTAAGGCCAGGGGTCCTCTTCCATTTTTAGTGCAGAACTCAAAGGAGAAACCTGCTCTGTTATAGGCTGTGACTTATAATTTTCTCCTTATTTATACCCAAAGAAGCAGGTCATAGAGTAGCAGCAGGAAGAGCTACCTACATTTTTATAATCTTTCCACCCTGGCACTGTTATTCTTAACATAATTTAAACTATTATTGACTGTGCCTCTTGTCCATGTTCGCTCATTGTTATTGCATATGATGGCATAACTGTCATATCTTGCATTAAAGTGCAGTAGTCCTTTTGGTCTACATTAGAAATTAAATAAGTTGTTGATTTGACTGACAGAAATTTAAATTGTAGCTACACTGATTATGGATGGTCATCAGAGTCAGTTTCAAAGCTTAATACCAAATATTGTTGGTATAGTTTTGGGGGTTTGATTCTTTGGTTTAACAAAATGAGCAGTTAAAAGGCATCTGGGACATCAATGACAGTGATGGGAATACTTCGCAATTTCCTGACATGTTATGGACAAATCAATGAATCAAGAAAACAATCAACTGATAAACTAGTTAATTCTTAAAATGGCCTAATCGATGCAGGTAATACTCAGGGGGAAAACTAATAAGATGCAGGGTGCAACACCTGCCCTACACAGGGTAATTACAATTGACTAGAAATACAATGAAACCTTTAGAAGGGAAATCCTCCACAAAACTGGGATGCCACAAATTTTATATAGGAGTATTTGAGCAAGTTAGAGACAACTATAATATTTCTATTTCATGCTGGATTTATATGTTATTTCTGCTCTTTTGAGTGTGTCTGTGGCGCTATAGTCTAGAGCACACTAACACGTTCTTAAAATAATTTACTGACATTTTTGAGATAATATTTATAGTGAAGCCTTTCTTTTTGTGTGTGTGTGTGTGTGTGTGTGTGTGTGTGTGTGTGTGTGTGTGAGAAATAACCCTATATGTCTGTAGGCATATTCGTACGTGAAGAATAGCTGTACCAATAACAACAGAGACCGGTCTGTTGGGGTGGATTTCCCATGTTCAGTCGGGGACTACAGCAGCGTCGTAGTAAAATGCGGTGCTGAGAAAAAGAGGAGGCGAGAGAGAGAGGGAGGGAGAGAGAGGGCAGAATATTTTTCTTCACAGAAAGCAGAGGAGACCGGTCGTCCTCTCCTCGGACATGTAGTGCACCCAGCAGCAGCAGTAGCAGCAGCAGCTGTGGGTGCTGGCGACGGTGCGGCGTAGGCTACCACGTCGGAGGGGCTTCTTTTATCTTTAATTTCTCTTTTGGTCATTCGGTAATGAGCTTGCTGGGGGCCTACAAGAAAAAGACCAGTTACGATGGCTATGAATCTTTGCAGTTGGTCGATAGCGGCGGAGATAGCTTCGGTATCGGCAGAGGGAGCAGCGGCGGCAGTGCACTCGGCGGCTCCATAGCGGCTACCATTGGACCGAAGGCAGGCCTGCTGAGAGAGGACTGCAGCACCATGGACAGCTCAGGTAAGAGGCTGTCGATACCGACTGTGCGATAGCGTGGAGAGAGCTGGAGTCAAATGTGCTAACTTTACACAGTATAATCGCGGCCTATAACTGGATTCTCGGACTGGCAGGGGACAACATGGCTGGTGAAAGTATAGGAGGATGTTATGCACCTCCTGGAATCCTCTGAAGAGCTCCCTGTGGTTCCCAGACCCGACCTTGATGGAACCGCTTGGTTATTGCATGTGAAATAAAGATGAAGATATGTCCTACTGCCATTCGCCTTGGGCAAAATAGTGTAAATCTTCTGTTGTTTTTACATGATACAGTCTACTCTAATCCTATATATCCTCCTATAGGGAAACCATTAAAAATGCATTTGACATACAGTTAAGAGTAGCCTTAAATGTGATTTAGATATGTAAAGTGTCCAGAAGTAGTATGTAGACATCAATTTTTGCGAATTTTGAATGTTTATAATTTTGCACAAATACTGTATGTTAAAATACGATATCTTACAAACTCATCTTCCAGTTTACATTGAGCGATATCTGATATAACCACATGAATGGCCTGTTATCGTTTTCATGTGAAATGTCACCAACTGTACTAGTAATCATATAGTTAAGAGTTAAGACACTATGTCCTGCTTTGATTTCAGACAGCAGAAGCACAACATTTTGAGTTTAAAAGTCATCAGGCCATGAATGATGGATTATTAGCCTAATGTATCCAATTAAAATAATAAAGGCACATGCTATAATCCATCTGTTTATCATTAATCTGATGACAAATTCCTCTCATACTCTATTGAACCCAGTCATAATAACTGATTTTTTTTGGCACTTTATTTTCACTGTGAGCAATTCAGTTCTGTAAAAGAGCAAAATAAAGTTTGTATGACATTTGGTAATGCCACTGTAACCATTACTGCTGGCAGTGCTACTACAAAAACTACAGCTGTAACTGTACCTACTATTAATGCTTAGTTTTATGTATCATGCCATGTCATGACAAACATTTGGTCACTATGGGATTACAAGTCATCATTATTTCTCAAAATACACCAAAAAATGAAGACGTATGTACTTATACATAAAATGACATCTTTAGGGAACTTTTGAAATGAATTCTTCATTAATTAACAGAAGGAAGAACTCCCAGGCTTTCTCTAAGTAACAAATTTAAATGTTTCATATGTGAACAGTCTTGCCCCGTTTCCAGGAAAAGGACAATAGCCTGGAATAAAATTACTACTACTACAGCTTTTCACTAATATTGATTAATACATGCTTACTTTCTGGGTTTCAGTGGATAGTGGTTAACTATTCCAGGCTTGGCCTGTCTTTGCTTTGTGTTCACCTCACTGCAGAGATCCGTGGAGTCAGCCGGCCTCCAGGGGTTCACGTTTGTGTGAAACAAAAGGAGCTGGATGGAGAGGGTGGGAGGGTCAATGAGGGAAGGGGATTGGGGGTCAGCGATTGGGGCGGTGGATGCTCCACTGTCATTTGTCTTTCGAGCCTGCTAGGCCTTATGGATTGTCTTTTTGATGTTTGTGTGTTCCTGTCTCTGTCCATGCATTTAGGTATCCTTTTGCTCCATCCATAAAAAATCTGATTTTGAGGGATAAGGATTGATACTCTGGAAGGAGGGAGACGCAATCAAATAAGGCATTGATCTTTCTGGCAAAGCTTAGATCTCCCCATGCTGTTAAGTCCCACGTTCTTGTTTTGTGAGTGGCTGGTGTCTCTCTGCGGCTGTATTACCTTATAGAGTTTGTATCAGAGCCTCCACTGGTGTCTGTATTAGCTGGGTTTGTCACTGTAGCTGGCTCACCAGCCTGCACACTCCCACATCCATCTGGGTACAGACACAGAGGCACGTAGCCTGGCTAACAGACCACCAGAGAAACAAGCAGGCAGATTCAGACAGACATGCAGAGAAACAGATACAATATAGCCAGAAAAACATTGACCAAAGGTCACATTATAACACAAGTAGAAAAGTAGTCATTGTTCAGTTACTTTCGATATTTAACTGTCAGTTTGCACCTAAACCTTGTCACAACTTTTATTCATGTGCCATGCTTCGTGCAGCCTGTAGTAACTTACTTAGGATTCAAAGCAGTGTGGTACTCCTTTGGCTAAGCTGTGTAGATGATTAGTCATACACCACTTGTCTCATCAGCAGCATCTATAATTAAGCAGAACAAAGTCCGGGTTGACACAGCACTCTTTCAGGTCCAAGACAAAACAAGGCCCAGCACAGTGTAGAAGCAGGACATCGAGTGCGGTGTGTTTGTGGTGTCAAGCTTGATACTGAGTGAGACAAGGTTTGGGGCTACAGGAAGAAGGTCGCATCCAGACAACCCACTGCCTTTTCTTTTCCTCTTCCCCTCTTCTTTTCCCCACTCTTTGTTTCTATTGGCCAACACAGTGAAAGTGACAGGAGGTGACTGAGGAGGAAGACTGGTTAAGCTATTGGTCTGGCCCTGTTTTTGTGGAGCGTGTTTGTTCCCTCATCATCACAGCGGCCTTGCTGCCTGTGTGGGTATCAAACAGCCTAGTTAAGTAGTCTAGCGAGCAAGACCATGCTTATTTCAAACACATCTGGTGAAGGAGAGCAGGATGAAGTGAGCAAGACAAGGGAAGAAGGAGGAGTGGAGAGATCAATAATAGACATGAAAAGACAAAGAGATACAAAGAATTAAAGAGTTTAAAGCTGTTGCCAGCATTTCTCCCCTGGAGAGATTTTCTCAGAGACAGTGTTTGTATGTTTGTAATGTCTCTGTCGGTATGTGAACGCATGAAGCTTGAAAGTCTGCTGCTTAAAACAGTATCTCTTCACTGAAGCACAAATGTTATCAAGAAAAAGAAAAAGTGACAAATCTCAGAGGATTTTCTTAAGTGAAAAAATGTTACTGTGAGGACTGTGACCGAGGTAACTGTCAGAGCTGTAAGTGAAGAGATAATGGGGGTGAGAATGAACTTTGAAATATGAATAATTTCTGCTGAATTCAGTTTTAAAATTAACCATTCCTTATATGTGTGGGCATGAAACAGATTTTAACCCACCCTGTACCCACATGTGTAAGACATCTCTCTAACCTACATTTCAGTTATTTCTTACATATGAAGAAAAACTAATCTGAGAGTATATACGGTATATATCAGGCCGATATCAGAATAAGTCACAGCAGCCCACCAGCATAAAGCAAAAATGGCCTTTAACAACCACTCAACTATTCCTATTAGGTTTTGTCTTAAGTGGCAGCAACATCACACAAATTGCAGCCAACTATCAGAAAATGACTGAATAGTATCTCATCATAATGAGCCATCTGCCTTCCCCAGTAATGGACAGACGACACTAATCCCACCTGAGCCAATAGCTGTTTACAACAAAACAGTTCCAGCCCAACCCAAAACCTAATACTTTTTTGGGACTTGCTGTCGTCTTCACACTGAGAACCACTGCTTCAACCAGAGCCAGTTGATCTATGTCAGATGAGAATCTAAAGAAAGGCAGAGCACAGCAGGGAATGTACCGTACTGATTGACTGTGCGTCTTTCCCACAGTGGGTTCCCGTGGACAAGAATACAAGAAGTTTTGATTAACTCGTGCTTAAAAGAGACTAGCTGAAAATGCAGAAAATCCCTGTTATGAGTGATTTGCTGCTGCATCATGTTTAATGCCCATAGATTAGTCAGCACTGCCAATTCACATCTCAAGAGATGCCACTGTGGTTGCTGCTGTATGTACAGTGTATGAAACGGGGCCACAGAGAACGAGGGAGGGAGAGAAAATCTCGCATCGTCAGGGGATGCTGACTCAGATATGACACCTGTGTCTCTTCCAACACTTGCTTACTCTTTTCAGTGCACACGCACGTACACACATACAGCAGTACACAGCTCCAGATGGTATACATTTTATTTAGTGTGTCTCTGTGCCCTATCCCATCATCTTATGTTTACTTGGTGAAATGTCTAGTGATTCATACTGCACATCCATCACTGAAGCCACATTGACTTTAGAACTGAAGGATCTCATTTATTCAATAGAAATTGTGTAACTCCTGAAAAGACATCATCTGCATTAAAAACAGCAGTTATTTCTGTTATTGTCTGCATCCTGTGTTTCCGTGCATGCATGTTTGCGGTCTTGTTCTGCGCTGATTCTGACTGAGTGGTATTCTCTCCAGATATGGATGCTGGCTATGGTGGAGGGCTGTTGGATATGGTGAAGGGAGGAGCCGGGAAATTCTTCAGCAACTTTAAGGACAACCTGAAGGACACTCTGAAAGACACTTCCACCAAGGTCATGCATCAAGTTGCCACGTAAGTGACCACTATGGTCATTATATCTGTACTGTAGCAACTGCACACCCCCCACTGCCAACTACATATTCTGTTGCACTGCAATTACAATAACAATCTAATAAAGGACAGATCAAAGAAGGAGGAAGAAAAATATGTTATATAAGAACAAATTAATTGAGATTTTGAGGAGATGTAAGAAACTATATTACTCTAAAGTATTAGAGGATAATAAAAATAATATGAGAGGTACTTGGAATATATTAAATAAATTGATTAGAAACAGTTCCAGCAAGAGTAACTACCCTCAATATTTTATGGATAATGATACACCGGTTAATAGATTGGAGGATGTAGTAGATAAGTTTAATAGGTTCTTTGTGAATGTTGGTCCTGGTT